AATAATAATAATAATAATAATAATAATAATAATAATAATAATAATAACAACAGCAACAATAAGATAAGAAAAACCTTGAATTTCATGATAGTAGACCGCGGATTTGTATGCAAAATGAACCGTTTACGATAGCAAATGACGTATTATAGTTCAAATGTTACAGTTTGTTCCGATTAGTTTAATATTAATATCTTCCTCATTTCGTCATAAATGAAACCCGCTATCTAACGATTATCGTCGATGCTGTAATATTTTATGAAAATTACGTGAGTCACTATGCGGCATTTTTCTTCCATGCCATTCATAGTGGCCTCTTCATTCTTCGTCGACCAGAGGTACAGAAACGTGTTCATGTCCGACAACGATCCAGGATCAGGGAGACCATCGCAAGTCATGTACCGGTCCCACTGCAAATCGTTTTATGTATCGAACGTGCTTGAAATTCATTTTGTTAAAATACCGACGTTCTCTTGCGCTTCGAAATTCAACGCGTCCTCCGTGTACGCCGCCCAATGCCGAGAAAGAACGTCCCTAGTTTCCTGCAACTGTTTCGCTCGAACCGTTGCCTCCTCGGCGTCCATTTCTGCACCTTGCATATCGTTGAATTGTTCCAATCGGATCTCTTCTTGCATGTCCCTCAACATCTTCGTCCTATTGGAACAACAATGGGGAGTAACGAGAATCGAGAAAACAAGTTATTTAGTTATCCACTTTACTTGATGTCTATAGATTCTGGGTCGGCGTCGTCAGTTTCCGGCGACGGTTTGCGCCCCTTAGGGGGTGGCTCCGGCATGGCTGCGGCTCTCTCCTTGGCCAACGCTATTTTCGCGCTCTACGTCAATCGAGATCTTTTCATTTTCCTGTCCTTACGAACGCCCTCTAACGATCTCCGACAGAGGTAAGTGAAATAACCTGCCATTCTCGCCACTTGTCCACCTGAAATTTGAGGGAACGTCGTAGAATGAACGTTTTAATGAATAATTCATATTTATTCTTCTAAAATCCGATACACTCGATTCTCCATCGATGCCTGAACAAGTTTCGTATACTTTGAAATTTGTACTCAGGTTTGTAGCTTCAATAACTTTATACATAAGCACACTGTACTGTATGTAGGTCAAACATCCTCGGAATGCATGAATAACAATTGAGTGTTGCAATTAGCGACACGAGAAGGTTTAATCAATTTTTCCACTTTCATTATCAGAACTTGTTAATTCGTGTCTAGGTCGGCATGAATAACGAGCGTTGGTTCTTACCAAAGATAAAATACGGTGAGGTGCAACGATGGATCTCGTCTGCTGTTTCCTCGCGCGCCTCTCACGTTCACCTTCCTCTTCTGTCTCGTATTCTTCATACAATATTTCCTCGGACTTCCTGGAAATCGCCAATGAAACTCGAGGCTCCTCTTCGTCTTCGAGATCGTCATCCGGCACGCCTTTGTCCTCCGATTCTCTGCGAAAACGAAATCTCGTTTCAAACGAATTCCTCTTATGTCTTCCTCGGTCCTCCGTCACGATTCTTCACGGTTCGAGACCTTTTCGTAGTGTCTGTTTGCGAGAAACTGTCCGTCTGAACTGAACCACTCGTGTGAGTTGATTTTTCTTGAGCCTCGCTCTGTCTAGGACTTGAGCGGATCGACGAGCTTCTCTCAGTTTGACTCGATGCGTCCATATTACCAGCGAAAAGGTCTCACAAAACGCGAACGATAGCGACCGGTCGAAAGATGCGCAACCATTACCGAAACAAATCACTGGCTAATTAATTATTCTGTACAAACATTTCACATTACATCGGTGTATGTATGTACAGAACGCAATATAGCAGGTGAATCAAGGGGCGCGGTAGCGGCCCGAAGGCAAGTTTGAGGCCCGTCAGGGGGCAGCATTGCCGTCGGGCACCGCGTACCTTATTTTTACACGTAAATTCGACATTTTGAATTTCTTTCGTGAATATTAATTGTTTCCTCTGTACTTTCTTAATGCTTTAATGTCACAATACACTTTTTTTAGACTACTTTACAATGTGTAAGAAGTCTTTTTTAAAAAGATGTCCTTAATGCAGAGATATTTTTCAGAAGTCACTAGATGGTCCGATATCAAAATCTTTTCGTCTCCCCTATTTCTTTTTACCATGAAGTTAGCTCAATACCAACTTATAAAATTTTAATACTTCATACGCTTTTCAATTAATGAACGATTCAATGTGGTCAACTTCATACAATAAAATGATAATACCGGTGTATGTGACACATGTGCGATATGATATAAAATAATAATAATTGATAAAAACGGTGTATGTGGCAC